TGTGCAGCACGTGGACACACAAAGCACAGCGAGAATCCAGGATACAGGATTCTCCAGTTTGTTTTGCCCTGAATTTCAAGAAACAAAGAAATTAAATTATTTTAGTGCAGATTACTTCAACCACACTCTTACAAAAGATTTCATCAGCTGTTTTATGTGATATATTCAGATCACAAATTAACACGCAAACGATGGAGACTTGGAATCTAGAATTAGAAAAGAATCGCATAGCTTCAAGAACAATTTCCATGACACTGACTTTCTAATTTCAGCAGTAGATTTCTTTTATTTTAATGTGAAGGAGAGAACAAGCCAAGCGGTGTGAGGAGCCAGGCCCACCAGAAGGACGATACGGTCTGTTAGCCGCCATCCCACGACGCGCGGCGCCATGCAGCAAGCAAAGACACTGCCGACAATCTTGGGCACAAGCCGTTTGTTTTTCATTAAACCATGCTTGATTTCTGTTAATCCTTTCTAGCCAGGAACTGGGTTTCTCTGGCTTCCTAAACGTAAAAAAGACATCAAAACCCCCCATTTTTCTTGTGAGCCAGTTGCTGATACATTTCCTCAGGAAGAACCTCTCTGCTGCCTCCGCCTGTGAGCAGACGCAGGTATTTCTGTCAAGGCCATTTTGTGTTTTGAGAAGGCATCGCTCAGTGACCACGACCGTTATTTTGTGCCACATTATGCCACATAACAAAAACATTTGCGTTGAACTGGGTTTTCAAAAGGCTGCCGAGTCCATGTGTGCCTACGATAACGACCTGTCCTATGCATCACGGCGTCAGCACTGCCATTCCCAGGCAACTGAAAGGCCACAAATCAGCCAGCAGCAGGAGCGCTGGGTTTGTCGGTGCCGCAGACAGAACAACATTCAACTGTGGCCAGGTTTGTTTCTGAGACATGAGGAGCTGGGCGTGCTGCCTCCACCGACGGCCGCAGTTGCGTGGCAGTCCCTGAGAGCAGCGCCTGGATGACGCCGTGAGCAGGCCCGTGTGATCCGTCCTGCGCCTCCGTACCGCCCCGATGGGGGTAGACAGTCAACCTTGCCATTACAAACAGGGTAGGATGGTTTGCCTTCAGGGTTACTACTTTTCTTTCAAGAAAGTAAGATTTGGGATGTAACTGTCAACCCAGCTGAGCTATGCCTCACGTAAATCTCGATGACCAGGGCAGCAAGCTGTAGAAAGCGGTTAAGTCCCATAAACCAATTTTAATCTTTCCAATGTGAAGGCTGGGAAGTGTTTCCATTTTCCAAACAAAAAACGGCAGGCTCCTAAGTCTCTTCCATCTTATGTCAACTGGTGATGGCCCCAAAAAGGCAACATCAGGCAACACTAAGTCTCACTGCAACTTGCAGTAAGATGCAGGCGAAGCAGCAATTGCTGTGGCTGTGGGGACCCGGCGCACTCCTCCTCGGGCTTCCGTCCGAGACGTGCCCAGAGGTACCAGCCCGGCCCTGCGCACCGCCGCGAGCCAGCACGAACACGGGCACATGCCTAGTGAGAGGTTTCCACGTGATACGTGAAACAGAGGGAACAGATGACACTTCCTCAGAGCCACCGAGCAAGTTAACAGCAACACTAATGGCTGGCTGAAGTCTATACTGAAACCCAAGAATTTATGCAGCGACATGTTGTGTCAATGAACTGCAACAAGGCTCTAAAAACCCCTCTTCATAAGAAAAACTGAAGTGGACCTGTCCTTGGATATTTTTGAGACTAAAGTAAATTTTGAGGAAGACTAACTTTTTTTTTTTTTTACCATCACAATAAATTTTCCACATTTGATACGTGCAATGCGTGAGTAGAGGTGTCCATAAGGGCGATGTTTCCAGGTTCCGCAATCATCGTCACGCTACGCAGCAGAGATAGCTCCAAAAGTGCTTCAGCTGACATACAGAGGCCCTCAAATCTTTCAGCCTTGCTGGGAGAGCAGAATCGGGACAGCACAAATGTACTGTGAGGTACTTCTCAGCCCCAGACCTGACCTGTGGACCTTTTCAACTGGGAACCCTGGCAGTGGCTGTTCACAGGTACCTACAGCTTCAGAGATTTGGTGGTATCAGGCTGCTGTGCGTAGTTAATGAGGGTGTCCAGCCCACTTGGCTACACTAATTACTTCATCTAGCTTTGTTTGACTGTCATGCTTCTAAATAACCCTTTAGTGACAGCTGGTATCAAGGTGCAGTTTTACAATGCCCGCATTGGCTGCGTTTCACAGGGTTTGACCACCACAGCCCAAGGAAAGAAAACGGAATTGGGTTTCAGTTCGTAACAAAGTTGGAGGATTGCTGCTACCGGGCGGGCAGTCTAGGCCAGTGTTTTTCTCAGGGTATGGGCTCAGAAGAGGTCTACTGGTGTTAAAGTTAATAAACAGGTCCAGTTTTCTGAATTAACGAGGTGTTTGCTCAGCCCCGCCGCCCCGGGTGAGTGGTCGGGCTGCTGAGCCTCTCTTCCCAAGGGCTTGTCAGTGCCACGGAGCCACGTGCGAAGGTCCAGGGGACGTGTTAAGAGTAAGGCAGCAAAACACCCGCAGATTTAGTCACGTTCACGGGCAAATAGATGTAAGAGGGGAAAAAAGTAGTAAACAGGAGAGTGTTAGGGACTGTTTTGGTTGTTTTTTTTGTGAAAACCAGGAAGTTAAGAAACTCAAAAGATAAGAGCAAAGGAGGATGTCTAAGAAGAAACAGTTGATAACGTGCCATGATAAGGGAACTGTTATTTCCAGAAAAACATGTTCAGCAAGCAGGAAATACAGAACAAAGTGGGACAAATTACCATGTTCCAAAGATGCTAAAACCATGCTCTTATTTTCTCCCCTAACATTTAAGAGTTCAGATAGCTCCAGTAAAGTAATAGTTGACTTAATCACTCGTATTAGCTTCCAGCATGAACATCACAATACATGCCAGGGAAACACACGTAAAAATGAAAGAAGTAATGCAACTAAAAGGCCTTACCTAGAACTTTGGCCTTGAGCTAATTTAAAGCAGTCTCTGAAAACATTAGCACATAAAAACAAAACACTATCTAAAAAAAAACTTCATATGTCCAAAAATTTGCTTGGGAGATTTTTTTTTTTATATTTTTAATGAAACACAGATTTAACTCCCCTGGGCATGGCTAAGGCAGTTTCTTCCTTCAAAAACCTATTTTCCTGACTTCTATTTAAATTACTTGGTGTTGTGCATGCTCGTGGTTAGGCAGCATTTGTTTTCCAGCAATGTAATAATATTCATTACAAGACAGAAGCATGTCATTCTTACCAACATAAATAATTTCACTCCAGTCACTCCAAAATCCTCTCATACAACATATGTGACGATTAGCTCTTATTTGTATGGAATACCTGCTGGTAACATCAATCCGCAATCTGAAGTCATTTGAGGATATTTTCAGTATCTGTTAGGAAAACAATATTGTACTGTTATAGATTACTTAAGACTGAACAGTTCAGAAAACAAATCATGCTTATCTTTTTATTTTTTTAAAACTCCTTTACTAGATTAACTGTGAGCATCTGGCCTTGCTTTTGAAGTAAGAAAGACCTGTATTTTTATAGGTGTGATTTCTCTCATAATATGCCGATATTTCAGGGCAAATTCATGAAAGATGCCTCATTTTTGCATTCTTCCTTAAGACACTTAATGCTGGATTTTCAGAATTGTCCATCCTCCTACTGTTCTGAACCCAGATACATAAAACTGAATAACTCAAATTTTTGTCCTTCTTTCCTAGGCCTCCTGGGGAGAGTTTGTTGCAGATATAAATGACATCCAGAGAAAGAGAGAAAAAATGAAAATTGATGAGACGTTGGCTTTGCTGAACCCTAGTCACAAATGGAACATAAGTTTCACCAAAAGTTCATAGTTTCAAAAATGAACTAATAACAGGTTTTATTTTAAATTTCTATAAATTTGTAACATGTCCATGAATACGAAGGATTTTTCACCAGGTTGCATAAAGGCAAATTCTAGTTACATAGGACAGTCAGCTCAGAGACAGGAACGCTATGTAATACTTGGGCATCAGAGAAGCAATTACCTGCTTGTTACCTGACTTCAAGTTGAAGAGGTAAAATTCGTATTCAAAACATTCTTTAACGAAAGGAGAAATTGGCTTCTCCCATGTGGCCAGGAGATCATTTTGCTCTAAGAATACAGTGACATTTCTGGGAACATTCACTTTCTCTACAAAAAAAAAAAAACGTACTGGTAAGTTCTTTATAGAGCAAAGTTTAAATACTAACAATTGGACCACTTTATAACCTGATAGTGTTTCCAAATAGGACCTATAATCCTTGAATTTATTTCACATTTTGGACAGAAAAGATAAGGATTTAGGAGGAATAACTATATTGGAGAAAATAATTAAGGGAAACAGTTTTCAAAATCCACTTAAAAGTTTTGGAAAACTAGATTACTGAGGTGGGGAGGGAGAATTTATTAAATTAATTTCAACAGAACAGTTAGAAAAACTTCCTTTCAGAACAAAACCAGATGTAACCAGGAAAGTTACTGAAAACTGGAACAAATTCAAAGGAATGGATCAGCAGCTATTATGGGGGTGATTTCTAAGAAGAAAATATGCCAACTGTTTTATCTTAGAGAAGCCATGTAAAAGGGAAATTTTATCTGTTTATAAAAAAAGTGAAAGGAGTGGAATTAATGAAGGAAAAGAAATTATTTGGGTAGATGATAGACAGTCATGGCTGATATTACCTTTTATTTGACAGTCTAATGCCTTTCTTTAAAAGGACATGGTTATCGTGAACATTACGCATCTTTTTCCTTTTAAAGAAAGGCTGTAAATAAAAGGTAGCAAAAGCTGTACTTGAACGTATATTGACTAAATCAACTGAAAATGAATATCAGAAGTAATGTTTTGGCTAACAAACAGAATAACTAATTGTCTTTTCTAGGTTTTTATTTTTGTCATTCTACAATTTAAAATAAATTATTAAAATCAAATTTAGTTAAAACCATCCATTTCTGTCTTATAATCTCTGCCAATTTCATTCAGATGTCTATGCAAAATCAGCACATACTTTCACCTTCATCAAGAACCATTCAATCCAGTAATATTCTCTCACAAATCTTTCAACAATCCTGCTAGACATTTTTAATTTAGAAAAAAAAAAAAAAAAGATATTTCTACTCACCTATGGCATTTTGGTTAAATAACTGCTGAAAAGGTTTGATGGCAGCATACTTGCTAGACCCATTAATGTGTATTATGATGAGATTGTCAACCCCTTCAGGATCAATATGAGTCACTGAAAATCTGCACTCAGTATTCCTGTTCCACTTATCTTTGATATAATCTTGACATTCTTCAGTGTACGTCTCATACCTAAATTAAAACACTTGTGAGACACGATGCTCTTAACAAAATTAATTGCTGACTAAAACGGGAGAAAACACCAACCTGTAAAATAGAAAGTACTCAGTATCTTCTGGTGCCCCTCGGCCAGGAAGCCAAGTGCAACGGAGGGAAACAGCACTAGAAATGGTGATGCGAGTAACACAGGACAAATTAGTGACTGATGTCTCTGGAGCACCTAGGGAGTCAAGGAATTATAAAGCAGAAAGAAAAATCTTATTACAGAAGTCGTAAGAAATTCTTTGCTAAAACACTTTGATTACAATCTTCAGTTCATTATATGTATGTCTATTGTATCAAATTCTCTTCCTTATCACACAGGTCTATCATTATGGATGGATGAAGATTCCCAAACACCGTAAGTAATGCTGTACCACACACCACCATTATGTACTTCATGTACACCTTGCAATTCAAGGGAACATGATCTCTTAATATTCTAGTGTAGTGTATGAAAGCAGGTTATTTTAGCCCTAGCAAGGAATTTTTAGAAAATTTTGTATGGGTTATCCATGTTGTGCACCTCCAGATTGTACTCCAGTCTCCACAGCAGTAGAGAAAGGCCTGGACTAAATTGTTTTGCAAGATCAGTGTAGCAGGTAGAGGGGGAAATGCTGTATTTTTCAAGTATTAAACCCGTCACCTTTTGAAGTCTAGTCCACAGACCGAGGCAGAACACAAAATTCAGATCTCCCTTGCATTTCTTCTTACCTGGCAGAGGCGGGAGTTCTCCCTTCACCCAGTCACTTCTCATCTGAAGGTCATTATGGAGAAGTAACATCCGAATGTGTGCAGAGAAACCATTGTGAAGTGCAGCTGTCCGGATACTGTGAGTTTTCTTTGTATCATACTTGAAATTAAAAAAAAAAAAAATCAAATAAGCATCACACGTGATGGAAGCTGAATTACAGGACCTGCAAAGACTGATCCAGACCTTGCAAAGAGGCAAACCAGTCCGCTAGCTTAGCTGCTTACATTAAGTGTATAAAGCTAGACAGTACAAATAATCCACTCAAGAAATATATAAGGTTTCTTATTTAAGACAGCACAACCCTTATCTTACCAAAAATTTGTCTATAGCATTCAGCTGTGATGAAACATGATCTGACATTTTAATGATACCTTGGCATTAATGTGAATTAAGTGAGATGACTTGAAGGGGGAGCAGTATCACTTACTTAAAACCAGCATCCAGCTTCCCCTCAGGATGAACGCTGCAGAGATTGCCAATTCCCAGGCTAACCCTTGTCCCAGCAAGAGCTGTAGCCATAAGCATAGCTGAAAGGGAGTCTCTCCAGTGCTCAAAGAAGTATATGCTTATGATATAAGAGAATAAGTCATTCAATATGCCAATTGTTCAAGAGATGTACCACACCTACTGCACCCTGGTTCAATACAATATGTTTAACTTAACAGGAATTTAACCTTCTGAGGATACTGGACTTATTTTTTATCTTACCTCTTCAGGCACAGGGCTTAGGATTTTCACATCATATCTAACAGTGTAGTTTTTTTGTTCTTGATTAGGGTTTGGTTTCCAGTCTAAAAGTACTTGTGCTAATGCAGAGACTGTAAGGGTGAAGTTAACAGGTGGCAAAACCTGAACTGTAAGGGAGAAAACGAAAATATTCATAACAGTAATCCAGTGAATTGCTTAGAGCAATAGCTGTCTATAAGCAATGGGCAATACAAGCAAGTAACTTCATTTCAACATCGTGTTTTCTCCACAGCTTCTTGTAAAGTGTTTCTAATATTTGAAAAGTATACTTAGATAACAACCAAAACTTCATTAAATAAGAGTTGACTTAAAACTTAGCTTAAAAAAATATTTTTTACAATATTTTCAACTTGAAAAATGTTATATTACATTAGGTTTGTCATTTAGGTTCAGATTTTTCAACTTGATCCTCGTAGCCACTGGGCATATGTACTGAAATGGGGCTGATCAAGTGATCAACTGTGTGAACAATTCTTGCCAACATAAATTTGCAGAAGAGCATAATGTGGGGGCTTTCTAAGAGAAGGCTGACAGCCACAAGAAGTTATATGTGAGAGAAGAAACAAAATGATGAACAGAGGAATTAAGCACAAATGGAAGAAAACATAGAAGGATGGGAATGATAATTTAAAATGACACAGCAAGAGGGATTCCTGGAGTTCATATGGAAATGAGAAAGATTTCATGCTGGGGGAAATGTTAGCATATAAATAGCAAGGCAACAAAATAATCAATCTATTCCAGTTCTAGAGTTCTTCAGAGCCTGTCCTCCCTTAATTACCATCTCCAAGGTAGCTGAGGGACATCAGTCCCCACTTCTCCCATGATTTCAACCTTTGATGCCTGCTAGTTCAATTTTCAAGCATGCACCTTGCATTAGGCAAACTGCCTCATGACGGCTCAGAAACCCCTGTCACAAACCATCCTGAACTGCTTCCCTTAAAATGTTTCTCACTGAGGTGCCCACAAAAAATGTCACCATTAAGGTTGTTGATGCGCCAGGATTATGCCAGCGACGCTTTCTGTCGTCATGTTTCTGCAGCTAACTGCAGTTTTGTTCCTGGAAGTAAAATTGCTATCTATCTGGAATAACGCCTTTGCTCTGGCTGGATTAAATTGTTGAATAAACCAGGCCAGGAACTACTTGTCCAGCCCAGAGGGCAAGTGGCAAGCACAACTTGCATCTACATGCCCCATGGTTCTTCCCCCTCAAAGCAAAACAGTCCTTAGGCACTGCCTGGGAGCAGTCTAACTGAGACAGGGTACAACTGTCCCCAGAAGCATGTTCACACAACATGGTCATCTGTGGTCCTGTCCTCGCGGCATGCCATGGACTGCTTTATTCATGTGTAGAATAGTGCATTTGACCAACACAGAGAGGGGCCTTGGTCACCCACTGGTGCTAAAGCTACACACTGGTAGGAAGGAAAACGCCTTACCTCCTGCAGCGTGAGGTACGTTTGGCTGAACCAAGATCGTTGTCCAAAGGAGGATCAGAAAAACTCTCATCATGCTCACCATAATCTCTAGACGGCAAATAGGAAAGGCCAGGTATCAGCATATGTGCCCTGTCACTGTTTTACAGAGGCTGATAGTTAAAAATGAACACAATCCTAAGTGTTAAGCACACAAACCTTGCAGCACAGTATATCTACGTGATCAAAGGAATTAAACTCTTCTCCTTCCCTTGCAGGAAAATGCATCCTGTCATAGCTAATTTTAATACAAGTGCCATTGAACACATCATTTTGCTTCCTTTGCTTTTGCACCCCCTTGGAAAAGCTACTGGTTTCAAACACTGTCATGTGTGGATGTTCAGAGCAGCAGTCATGGACTTACAACATCTCTCCACGGAGAGGAGTGAGTCGGGTTCAGGTATGTTGCCTTTCAGAAGAGTCCCATTTACTCCAAGAACAGAAAGAACCACATTTTTAGCTGTCATTATATATAAAATGGCTACTTACTGGAATTTACTTTCCAGTTTCTACTTCAATAAAGCTCACTAAGGAAGCAGTCTCAGTGCTCACCTCAAGGCTAATTCTCCAGCGTTAATTATTGGGTGTAAGAGAAAGTATTTTGTTTGTTTCTCATTTAAATGAATGACTATTTTTAATGCTTAAAACCAGCATGTTCTTATGCTTCCTACAGACTGCTTCATGAAGTACTGGGAGAAAAAAAAAATGTGTGTAATCATTCATGTATAACCTAATATAAACAACATGGAAATACAGAAGAGCAGCTTTCCAAAATGTTCTTACCGAAGAAAAATACACCCTTTCAGCCCAATCACACTACTTCCCTGGGGCACTACAGCAATTGCTTCTATGGAAAACATAATATTTTCAGATGGTAATGAGCAGAGAAAGCATCTTTAACCCATCAGTTCTCCCTGAACCTCCAATAAATAACCCAGGGACTGGAAGCACTCCAATTGATCACAGTTGGAGGACTTCTGCTATGCAGTAACTATTTTTCAAAATGGTGTATGAACACTGAGTTCGTTAAAATGACACATAATCTACAACACAATGTGTTTCTTAATGTCCAAGTCCACTCGTTATCTATACTCATATTTTGTATGTCTCTTGCTGTTCTGCTAGCCAAAATGTGCACGAGGCTAATTGAACATCTGGAGTTTGCTAACGGGTTATTCCTGGGAAGTCAGGGTTTGCTTCCACCTATGTTGGCTTATCGAAAGACATTTTAGGTCTTCCAAAATGTATGTGAATCACAGTCAGGTAATTATTCTTCACACTGTACATTTATGCCTACACAATGCCTCCAAGACTATTTCCTATTGCATTACCGTTCACGAAAAGTCTCTTCTTCTGGATTTTCTCGCTTGAATACCATACAGACCTCTGCTTCACAAGATTATGTTATTCTGGAGGGCATTATGTGGACTGAACACAAGTTTTAATAGCACCTGATCTCTGACCACCTCTGCCACACCTATACTGCTTTATCTGATAAAAACTAGTTAAAAGAACGGCTAGAACATGACACACATTTCCAAATGCTTTTGTACAAACTAGTGGCAGCAGGCTTTCCTTCCTGCTTCAGAAAACATTGCATAGCTCATTTGTAGAGCTCATTTACCCAATGACACTATTAAACACACTAATAACTTTTTCTCCCAATTTAAAAGTAAAAATGTATCAACTTCAAGTCCCTGAAAAGAAAAACTGGTGTCTCATTTTCATGCCAGCAATATATACCCCGGTACAACTCTGGCAAGAACGCAACTCTGAACTGCACAGATGTGCGCGCAGGTGCTTTTACGCACGCGTGCACCTCTGCATTCCTACCTGTCTATTAACGTCACCCACCACGGTTGTTGCAGCTCTCCCACCAACCACCCACAACCAAAACCAGCAGCTAGGAAGCAGTTTCAAGTAGATAAAGCTCTTGTAATGTGAACCAGGTACCTTGGTGAGAAAGACATGAGAACGCACCCAAGGGCATTCCACTCGCCTAGGAGAGAGGCGGAGGGAGAGGTTGTGTTTCCCCAGCTGCAGACAAAGCCTTCATAAATAGGACATCAGGTACAACTACGAGACCTTGGGAAAGAAGCTTCATTAGTTCCACTGCCAAGAAAACTCACTTTTTTTTAAAAAAAAAATGTAATCACTTCAATACCTTATTAAAAATAAATCTTTAAAAGGCCTCTTGTTTTACAACTGCTTTGGATTCACATCTACTAACTTGAGTAATGTCAGTACATTGGTTTCAGGACTGCTCTGGCATTTACCACAGCTAAAAAAGCTGTTTCTCTCTTGGGTTTACTTAAAGTTGGCTACTTACCGATTTTTTTACTATTTCCTCAAAAAATAATGATTCTGATTCTTCCTGGGC